ATCAGATTGTAATTTCATCTTCATGACATGCTTCAATTGGCCCTGTAATTACTTATTAACTCCTACTAACCGTTTAATCAAATGAGTGGATGTGAGAAACAGACAAATGACCTAATGGTACTTTTATACTAATAATGTTATATCCCGATGAGAATAATAAATGGTAACTGTTAGAATCTATTTCTGGACTAATACTATCAATATATTTTTATTATATAATTGTCAGGTAAATAAACTATTTATATTCGTGTTCCTCTTATTATAAGCTTTATTTTGACCTATGAACTATTATTATATGATTTACCATTCTTGAATTATGCCCAGTTTATTAATTACAGTCTCCCACACTCAAGGCCACATTCGGCTAGATCTGTTACAAATGTTAGTTTCTATTTTGTAGTGTGATGTGGTCTGTTTGGTTTGTATATAAACCCAGTATGTTTGAAATACATGATTCATATCGCAGAGGCTGAGATTGGTGTTCCGGACTCAATAGGCGGGGATAGGCAGGAAGCAGGACCGATAAGGACTCTAGACTATTCGTACAGGTTTATGCGTCATTGGTCTGGTCGATAAATCACTGTTCTCTAATTGGCAGTATCATTACATTATACATTGATAGATGCACAAATCCACAAGTTATAACAAATAAAATTTGGGATATTTTAATTTACTGTATTTTCTAGACTACAGTTAAAAAAAACAAGCTACTTGAGTCTGATATATAATTTTTGGCTAAATTTTGCTATCGACATTATGACCACCATCTTTTTACTGCTACTAATTAGTTATACCATTAGAGATGTAAATTACTCAAAACCATCCAGCTAAGAGAACAAAACTACACCAAAATCATCCACCTGAGCTACAAATCTTCACCATCTCAAATTAAGTGGTACGGTGAATTAGAGTTTTGTCCTTTTTTTCTACCTCAAGTCAATAAATTGAGTGAGTTTGAACTACTTAAGATTGCTTATCAGTATGTTAATCGGTATCTTTAAAGTGTCTTTTTATTAAAACGATCAAGCATCAAACTGTCGTTTCAATGAATGCACTTAAGCTATTCAAGATTTTAATGACATCATAATTGTCGATAATCAATAATTTAAACTGTAGGAAGTAGTTATCAACACAAACTAGTAGAAACAATAAACTGTTAGATAGCTGTTCGATTGTAGAATAAAATACCTCAGCAATGTTTATCCACTTAACTACATGAAATCAATCTTAGAACTATCGAGTAAAACCAAAAGCACTATGTCATTAGTAAATGAGTAACAATTTATTGGTCGGTATTTTTAACTTCAAATAATTGGATCCTTCAGTGAAGTTAACAATAGGTTACTTTCTCAACTCTGATCTGGTTAAGAGATGTCTTGATTATTTTGAGGTAAATAAAAGTGAACAACATGAGGCTATAATTTATGGACAAGCCAAACACGTATAAGATAAAAGGTCTCGGATTTCGGAGCGAAATTCACCCATCCATTTAGTTAAATAGAGTTTTGGCATTATGGCTTAGGTCAGCTCGTGAAGAAAACCCTCAGTCTAATTTCTAACCTTAACCATCAACTATAAATCATAGTTTTAATTCCTCACACAGGTTTACAACCATCATTTCGTCCTAGTTATTAGATGAACACTCTCAAGGTCACTTTAGTGTCACTCAAAGGTTGTCCATAAATTATATTCTCATCGTGAGCATTTCCTTACTGCTATCTGGCTATCAAGATCCATATATCAAATGTAAATTCATGATTTGAAACCCTATATCTAAATTAAAATTTCAATGGATGATTTCTGTTTAATTTAAAGATGTAAAATGATATTAAGATAATTGTGTTACTTAAGTAATCAATGATTGATACCATTGGTCTGTTGACTTCTTGGTATATTCTAAAAACGGCTGGTCGACGGGACTACAGTCATATTGTAGTGAACAAGAACATCAGTGGGGACAATCGACTAAATTTGACAGGAAATTACAGAGTATCTCACTAAAATTTGAGAATCATATAGTAAATCGTTAATTTGCATAATATCAATCCATCATCTCAAACTTGACTATTCCCTTTGCAAATATCATTTTATTGTCTCAAATTTCATTGTTCATGCATTCTCATACCAATCGTGTTCCATTTCCGTTCTTTCATTATCGATCTTCTATTGAAATACATTGTATGCCTGACCACCACTATATACTACTTATATGGATATAAGTAACCCACACCACAATAGTAAATAACTAAATAATTGAAAATCTCATTTACCTACCTGTGTATACTTATAAACTGTAAACCAATTAACTTTGCTTCCTAGAAATACAAGAATGGTGACTGAAATTGAATTAAAATTTGATTCTAATTCTCTTACGAATCAAGTGAGGCTTTGAAGTGAAATATTCTGACCATATTTTTTCTATTAATTCTAAATAGTTTAGTTATTAATTAATAAAGTTAGATCCCATTGGATTATTAACTTTTAGCATTGTCTCTCTGTGGTTTGCTCAATTTGAGAACGATTGATTTATTTCTAATATTTATCTAATCCTTACTACTGATTGAATTCTGTCGATTAATTTGCGGTGTGTTTAGTAGTCTTAAGGACTCAAACTTGAGTAAACCGTGTTGAGATCGTAGGTGGTTGAAGGTAGCTGAAAATAGATCTTGTGATATGTGGCATTTGTCAACAAGAAATGCCTACAATTTTGATGAAACTGAAGTTCTTAGTGGAATTCAAATAGTTGATTCTTTCAACAACCTAAAATTTCAACATAGTGTAGACGATATGCAGTGATTTAGACTAGTTGCCATATTGCAAGTTAATCAGTAGGATTCTATATACACTAAGTATTAGACAAACATGGTACTAGTCACTAGTCACTGATCAATCATTGGCAAACGTCTTGGCCTAATAATAAGTCAGCAGCAGACCCGGTAACTTAGAACTACAATCAGATGAACCGAGGCTGGTCTACACGTGTTCGTCAGTCAGTCAGTCAGTAACAACGTAGAACTTAGTACGTACGTACATCAGTTCGAGTTGCCATACCACATTAGCACAGAGATGCAGTGGTCGATTCAAATCCCGTAGTGGTAGAGGTAGCAAGAGTATAAGCAGTGATCGGGAAGATTAGGGTTTGGAGATGTTATTTAACGAGTATAATCCAGTGAAATAAATTTGGAAAGAGGAAAAAAAAAGGGGCATGAAGAATTCAGATAATTAGAATTTGGGAGAACATAGAGAGTGGATGCACCTGCGCCATTGCAAACGATTTTGAGCCATGTCATTCAGGGTCTCTAACCATCGGTTGCTATCACGTGTTCGTATATATATATATATATATATATATATATATATATATATATATATATATATATATATATATATATATATATAATGTGTTGTGACTTAAGTCATAAACATGGTTTACTGCTACTCACTTTGTTTGTTACTTTTTCATACTTTCATGATTTAGACAGTTTTCGACAGGAAGAAACTATTATTCCACTTTGATTATCGCATGAGGCTCAGGTCAATGTCTAGATCACTTTTATTTGATTGGTGAGAATTTATAGAAAATCATTCGTATGAAATGCCTTTTACATACCTAGTGCCAAGATCTTGTGGAATTACTTGCTTAAATCTGAAGAAAAGCACGGACAAACTATGTTCGTATATAATCAGTTAGAATAAATTTATACGTGTTAGCAGTCTTCCAGTTATTCAGTAATACGCAACACATAACCTGGCGCATATGAGCATTGATTCAACTCCCGACATCACATTAACACAGCGCGATAAGATTATCGAAGAAATTCACAGAGTAGTTATAGAAGCAATATCAGTAGCAGTAGAACGATTCGGTTTAAGAAAAACACAAAAAATATGAGGAGCATATCCTACAAAGAACTGTTACCAGAACCATTTAGATAGGCAAAAATTTTAAAATATCCTAGTGAGTCTCTTAAAACCCGCAAAACAATTAAGCTAACTACTGCGACGTTTCATCTAATTTATGCATATACATATAAACTACTTTTAAGTAGTATAAGGCCTGTAACAAAATAATCGGCCTCGTGTTGATTAATACACAAATTAACATGAAATTGGTCAGCTGAAGGTCGCACATCTAGTATGACAATTTTAGACCACTTCGATTTTAGAATCCAACATTTCACACAAAATAACTCAAGCGACTTCTCAAAATTATCTGACAAGCATAGAAAGTCATAGTTGATATTCAATTCATTTAAATAAATCAGACAAATTTCCATAAATAAAGTCAATGACTACATTGATGATGAGAGTGAAATTCAACATAAAGATTTTTTAAAAATATAGGAAATATTACTTTTGATCAAATTTAGCAATCGTTAACTTTGAACGGACTAATAGTCATTCATTAAACTATAGTAACAATTTATTTGTAATTCCACCTGGAGCCCCCCTCCTTGGGCTACTGCCGGTCCCAAACCCAGATAAAAGAGGAGGGTTGGGAATGGGGTTAGAGACCCTACCCCGTGGAACAATAAATCGCTGAAAAAACGCTAACCAACAATTTATTGTACAACTTAACTAAAATAATATGTTCATTTCAGATATTCTGTAAATTATCATTAAAAATAAAAGATGGAAGTAATCTATTTACGTTTTGTTTTCTATTCATTTTCATTTTATAATCCTAAAATTATAAATTTCATTTATAGTATTTACCATGTAAAATGTGTCAAATTAAAGCTAATAGGAGGCAAACTTAAGATAGGGAAATAATTCCGGTCAGTAGCCTATACTCCATTGAGAGTAAAACGTATAAGTAAGTAAGTAATTAAAAGAGAAATGAAAGAATTTTTCTTATAATCAGTTACTAAACTGTAATTAACTTTTATTTTAAATGGATTATTTGTTCAAATACATTGAAACTATTGTATTTCTGTGACAGTTTTACTTTCCTTTTTGTGTTCCTCACTTTACTTCCAGTAAAAATTCTCTTCAATAGATTATTTCTTCTTTACATTAATCGTTTCATAATTTACCTTTTAGTTAGAAAAATAGAAAAAGAGAAAATAATAAACAAACAATTTTACACATGAATGAAGAAATTACATTGATAAACGTTTCACTGATTGAAGTTGAAAGGAAATCAATATTTCATTTGACAGTCTGTTTTAAGCTATGCCGTTGAAAAAGTTGAGTCACGTATTTATAGGTAAATGATGATTAGAAATATGACAACAATTGATGATGTGATATATAACTTGCAGTTGAGAGTATGTGAAAATAGCGTGAAACAACCGGTTGATAAATGTTAGTGAAAATTATACTAACCAATTTCCTGATGAATATCTATTCACTTACTTACTTACGCCTGTTACTCCTCATGGAGGAGCATAGACCGCCCACCTGCATTCTCCATCCAACGTTGTCCTGGGCAATTCTTTCCAGTTGTTGTTCATCTTTTTTATATGTGCATCTGTTTTCCGACGTAATGTGTTCTTTCGCCTTCCTCTTTTCTGATTCCCTTTAGGATTACAAGTTAGCGCTTACCTGGTGATGCAATTTGGTGATTTCCGTAATGTATGTCCTATCCATTTCCATCGTCTTTTCCTAATTTCTTCTTCATCTGGAAGTTGGTTTGTTCTCTCCCACAGAGGGCTATTGCTGTTGGTATCCGACCAATGGATGTTGAATATCTTGCGTAGACTGCTATTTATAAATACTTGTACCTACTTGATGGTTGTTGTTGTAGTTATCCAAGTTTCAGCTCTGTAGAATAGAACTACCTTGACGTTCGTATTGAAGATCCTCACTTTGATATTGGTTGAAAGTTGTTTTAAATTCCATATGTTCCTCAATTGTATGAATGCGTCCCTTTATTTGCCAATCCTCGCCTTTACGTCTGCGATGAATATCTAACCGGGATTTATATTTTCCTTTTTTATTCCTCTTTCTAACAAATAAGTGTATTGATATTATTTAAAGCCATTAAGTTTGCGCAAAGTATAAAATTCTTATCATTTTTCAGTATATTTAAGATCTTCAGTCAGAATAAATCAAGTGAAACCAAACTTGAAAATAACAAGTTAAAATAAAATTGGTAATAATATTCTCGTAAATTCAACAAAATCGACATCACACAATTTTATTTTATATTTTGTAGGGACAAACAATGTCTCCAGTCCATTGAGTCACGTGTTATATATGCCTGAACACCGTTTACTATGACGTGCAATGCTAATTAGTATTGGTGATGGTTGGAAGAAAGTTAGGGTTGGCCAAACTAAAACGTGGCATCAATCTACAAAGTCACTAACTTCTGATCTGAGCAGTGTAGGTAGATGCAGATTTATTTGATTGGGGTCCGCATGACTATCAGGACATGGCTTAGAATCGATCACAATGGCGTACAAGTATGCACTCTTTGTTTTCCCTTAAACCATGAGATTAAAATTGCTTTATACTTTTCTTTCTACAAACCAATTCTTTCTCGCTGTATAGTATCATCACATGCAATCTTTTTTTGTATATAACTACCACTGAAGTGACTACTTCTCTGAATTTGGTGTTGATCTTATTGGACTAACGAGGTGTTGCAACTTGAACCGATGCATATATGTGCGCGGTCCTAAGTTATAGCTGACTAACTGACCAGTTTGCTGCGTGACCATTAACTGAATGTTATCTGAAAAGATTATACGTCTATACCTTTACTTCGGTGTAAACGTCTTTCATCATAGAACGAGAATTTGATCGCAAAAAGATTTTTCACCTATAAAATCCATACCTTTCATATTCCGTGATCACCCTTTCCATTTCAATTGTTGGATTTCATACAAACTACTTAATTACACTTAAGATATTTTTTTTAAAAAAAAGCATTTTAATAATAACACAAACTAACCAGAGCTAGACATTCACTTAAAATCAAAAAGACTGAATAATTGTTTTATTTTTATAGGAGATTATACAACAGTGCCTATCAACGACTCTATCGCAAAAGATCGAACCCAACATCTTCAGTCTGATGCACCAACACTTAACTTCTAAGTCACTAACCGCGAATCAAATGGTGTACATATCTAATTTTAATGAATTCACGATATTGCACTACCATCTTTTATTGTGTTTAGTGGATTACTGCCCCTCACTCGACACATTTTAACTTTACTAATCATAGCTTCTCATTAGAACTTCAGATATAACTCTCAAAATTAGTCACTGATGAGCACATGATAATTTATCAGTATAGAGGTTTGTGGAAGCTATCGAATGATAATGATATCAAACGTGTTAGTTGTGAGGTAGTTTTCCACCAAACACCACTGAGTGGTCTAGAAATTAAGCGTTGGAGCGTGAGACCAAAGATGTTGGGTTCGATCTCTTGTGATAGAGTCTCAGATGCGTACTGTTGAGGAATCCTATATAATAATGAAACAACTATCCAGTCTTACTGACTTTCAATGAATGTCTAACTTAAGTCGGTTCTTGATATCGATAACATTCAATAATTTCCATAAACTTGTAAATTGAAAAATGTATTTGTTTGTGATACTAAATAATCTTCGTTACATGGAAAAATAAACTTTGAATATCTTGTTTCACATGTTGTATTCGAACACTTATGCCAACAAAACAAACTCATAGTGCTATAATTGTGAGACGGCAGGAGATTTGAGGGTAGCGAATTATCGATCGGACCAGAGACGTGAAAACACACAAGAACGACCTAGGGTTCTGATTGATCCCGCTTCCCTATCTAGCCCAGCAGTTGAGTCCAGAACGCAAGTCTCAGCCTCGGATATATGAATCATTATATTTCAAACATACTTTGTTTATATACCAGTCAATCAGACCGCAACGTACCATAAAATAGAAAATAACATTGTACAATATTGACCAGTAGGAAAATGACACGTGAAATAAGTACTGACCAATAAGAAAATAATACCATGTCCAAGTCCAAGAATAGCATTAGGCTTAATAGGATCATTTCTGGGATATTTTCCTGAATATCCCAACACATAGACAACCCAATGTCTTCAGTTTAACCGAAAGAAATACTTGGTATTCCATAACCAATAAGATTAACATTATTAAATAAACAAAAATATTATTTCTCATTTTTAGAACAAATGTATTTGTTCATAAACCATGAAAGATTATTTAACCAAATGATTACATAATATTCATAAATATAAAAGCTAATTGTTACATAGATCTACGTTTTCTATGGTGGTTTAGCTTCAATTGACTCATGATCTCAACTATCGAAATTACTATGATATTAACAAAAAACCCTTCTGATATTAATCAGCATATGCTCACCAGTGACTGACTTCAAGAAGTATTTCCTGGAGTTCTAGTGAGTAGCAGTGACCAGTGCAATTCAACCGGATCTGTAGTGAGATAGTCACTCACTGATGACAATGATGAATGTGTCGTTCAATTTCATGAATTAGATGAAGTTCGACATTAAAACAGTTGAAAGCCATCTGATTCAGTGGTCTAGTGATTAACCTCTCGCGTGCAAGACTGATAGATTCTGGGTTCAAATCACACGAAGCGAGGTTGCAGATGCACACTACTAAAGAGTCCCACAATAGGACGAAATGGCCATCTATTACTTTCAAGTTTTCTATGGTAGTCTAACTTCAAATGACTCATAATCTCAACTATTAAAATTACTATAATATACAATTAATTTGTATTTACTAATATTTAACGAGTGGAAGAAATCCGTATAAACTAAATTTATAAAAAGATTATTGAATAAAATGTTTTTGCTAGCAAAGGGGTTTTGGAGATTATTAAGTTTTTGATTGAGATCATGAACCGATTGATGTTAGACCATCTTTGGAAACTTGGAAGCACTGGACGGCCGTTTCGTCCTATTGTGGGACTCCTCAGCTGATGTTAGACCACCTTTGGAAACCTGAACGAAACGGCCGCCCAGTGCTTCCAAGTTTCCAATGGTGGTCTAACATCAATCGGTTCATGATCTCAATCGAAAACGGGTTTTTTGTTGCTAACTTACAATAAGATTTGGTAATTGAATAGAATTTAAATTGATACATTGTTCATTATCTTGTTTCCAATGATGCATGAATTGTATATTGAAATTAGAAAAATCTGATAATTTTCTATTTATTGAAGGAGCTGAATATGATCGTAATTTATGAATATTTGATGAATTCATTTTATATGATTTATTTATATTATCATTGATAAATATATCTAATTGATCTAGTTCATTATAATTAGTTACTATATCATTATTATTATTATTATATTTTATATCAAGATCAATATAAGTATCTTTTATTGATTGAACATTTTGTTTATAATTAAATTGATTTCTTTTCAAATAATGAATTTGTTTTAATAAATAATATTTAAATTGATTAATATCATTAGATGATTGATAGAAATATTGATTTGTTAATATCTTTGAATAATCAATATTATTGGTATTATTAGTAGTAGTAGTAGTAGAAGTAGTATTAGTAGTAGTATTGTTGTCATTTGTTACCTTTACTTGTCTTGTTTGATGTTCTATAGTGGAAATATTTTGTTTCATTGATTGATTGAATAAATTATTATTATTATTAGTATTACATAATAATTGTTCATGTTCTTTTTGTTTTAATTCTTTAGTAACTGCAAATGCTGATTTAGGACGTTTTATAACACTTGTGATAGATTTTAAAAAATGTTTATAGTGAAGAAACATATAAAAAAAGAATACGAATAATGAATTAAAATATGAATTAGTAAAATGATTTATTCATATTGATAATATTGATAATCTATAATGGACTTAAACCATTAACTGAAATGTGGAATTCAGTTAGCTTAGAATGTTTTACAGAATATAAAGATTTTAAAGATTATTTATAATGGATGCAAAATATATTGTAAGATCTTTGATTGAGATCATAATTCAATTGAAGCTAGACTACCATGGAAAACCTGGAAGCACTGGACGGCCGTTTCATTCTATTGTAAGAATCATCAGCAGTGGTGTTAGTGTCCCACAATAGGACGAAATGGCCGTTCAGTGCTTCCAGGTTTCCAACGGTGGTCTAACATCAATCGGTTCATGATCTCAATCAAAGAAATTGATAATCTCCACAACCCCTATACGAATATTGTAAGATTTTTGAAAGATATCTGAAGAATGTTATTAAAAAAAATAGGGGGCAAGACTACAAGTTATGGATGAACCAATCAGATTTAAGATAATATGTCTTGGAGTTTAGTGCGAAATTCATTCACTCATTTGGTTAAATACTATTTTAACATCATAGCTGATGTTAGTTCGTGATCAAAACATCAAATCTAGTCCCTGACCTTAATTATCAACTGTAAATCATAATTATAATTCTTCATATTGTTTTATAATCCTCATTTAGTCCTAGTTAGTAGGTGAATATTATTAGTATTAATGGGACTGTTGACATTTGTTATCTTCACATGTGTTGTTTGATGTTCCATAGTTGAAATATTTTATTTCATTGAATGATGAAATAAATTATTAATACATAATAATTGTTCATGTTCTTTTTGTTTTAATTCTTCAGTAACTGCAAATGCTGAATTAGGACGTTATACAAGACTTGATATACATTAAGAAAAATTCAATTTATATAAGATATATATAGATGTTACTGGATTAAATTTATGAATTTATACTATTGGATACTGTTTTGAGTAAAAGAATGCCCTTGATAGAGTTCGATGAAGAATCTTGGTAGGTAACCTAACACCCCTTCAAGAGAAGTAACAGGTGTAAGTAAGTAAGTAAGTAACCATCTAAAGAGTAATAAATAGTTTTGTTATTCTTTTTCAATACAAAGTTGTGAAATGCATCTTGGTCAGACGAAAATTGTATCATCTTGATTTTTATATGATGAATAATGCAATTCAATCATTAACTCTGAATATACATAGCAAGTTTCATTCTATACATTTTGTTTGTAAATTAATCACATTTTAATGCACATATATGCAAATTAAAATGACTTCTTTTTTATAGATCTACTCAAGATAATTAATACAAAAAGGTGAATTTTTCTTATCAGACTTTATTTTCATTTACATGTAACATAGATATGATTCCTTTTGAGATGGGTCCTCTTAATATGCATCAAACTACTATCATTTTGAAAGCCAAGAAAAATAGCAAATATAATAGTTTAAATTCACGTGATATTGTTTCCTTGAACCTTCTCACTGATTTTTAGGACTGTAATCAGTCAGTCTCTCATTAATATATGTGCATGCTGTGCGGATCACCTCGACATTGCCTTAAATCAAAATCATTATAAATAAAGATCAATGATGGCTAACAGTGGAATACAGGACACGCGTCTCGTCTTGGAATAAACATCAACTCCGGGATACAGATAGGTCCGGTTGTCGAGTTCCAAAATGAACGAGGCGTACTTCCTGAATTCCACTGCTAGATACCATCCATCTTTGCTTATAATAGTTGAATACTGTTAATAGCTAGTAAGAAAATTCCTTTATTATTCATAATTAAAATCAATATGTTTATATTAGTGATATGTTTTGTTTCAAATAGCGTCACACTAACTGTAACTTGCGAATATGAGGACCCAACATTATTTCGTGGGGGGAGGATAAAATCAGGATCTAAACTTTGAGTCTTCAAAAAAATAAGAAGGAAAGGTGATATGACGGAAAGAAAAACCAAAATTCGATTGATTTACTCATTATGAGTCTTGCTCAACATTACTTCCGTTTTTGATTTAATGTAGGACTTGTTTTGTTTTCTCGTATGATATCTTATTCTGTATAACATACAATATTCGTGTATTCAATTGACATGGACTATCATCAGCATACGATTTGTCATAACTGAGTATTTTTGTATATATATATATATATGATTTAATCCTAATTATTAATCAGAGTATGTGCACAATCAATATATAAATGAGTGTAATTTTGACTAGGGTCGTCGTGTTTTGGTGTTAACAAATCTTAACTTATACCAGTCTTCTTGTTCTTACTTTCGCGTCGTAGGAATTGCAGAGGTCCCTCCTTCCGAGTATAAATGATAAGCGTTTCCGACACAACAATCAACGACCACCAAATACGAAAAGTAGCGTTCAAAACAACAAGACGTAACAGTGGCGACGGGGATTTTGGAAAAAGTCGACAAAACATATCACTTAGAAATATTGCCTAAAATGGAAATCAAATCAAACCTGTGCTTCACCGCATAAGTTCCCGGTATTGGTGGTGATATTAAAAATTCAAATTCAAAAGATTTCTTTTTATTATTTCGTAACGAATCATTGGATCTATTAGAATTTGATTGAATCGATGACCCTGATGATACTCTACTCATTCTATTTGACTTTGAATGTTCACTTAAAGATCGACAAGCTGAAATGTTTGTAGAAAATAAATACGAGTAATAAATTAAAATTTGAACTAGTAAAATGATTTATTCATATTGTTAATATTGGTAATCTCTAACAGATTAATTTGAGAGGAAAACAGATGAAGACTTAAACCATTAATTGAAATGTTGCATTTAGTTAGCTTAGAATGTTTTACGGGGTTATTTGTAATAGATGGAATATGTATAGCGGTGGAATCCAGGAAGCGCGTTTCGTCCCATTTGGGACTCGCCAGCTGGATGTACCTGAATCTTAGAGTCGATGCTCATTCCAGGACATGAACCCAGTACTGTTCACTTCAAACGCCATCGCATTATCCATTTAGCTACTGAGTCCGGCTAACATTTAGTAAAAATAAGTTTATCATATTATATAAGCGCATTCAAACGATCTGATGAAGATATGCACAAACGGAAATTGTGTGGCTTATTCATACATTACTTATTAGTGATTCTAGTGTCAGATTCTTTTATTAACAGCTCGAATGCATTTCAATAATAAAAATCTAAAAGAAATGTTCGCACGTATTACAGGCATCATATGATATCCATAAAAACCGTACATTATTACTCACTGTTTAAATAATATGACAGGATTCCATTTTAATTTAATTTATTATTATAATAAATGTTAGACGCTGAGGAAAGTTACCAAAGAAATTAGTTTCTAGGGTTTAGAACAACTCCATCTGTTGATTCCATAGTATTATTTTGATCACATTTTAAAATTTTCCTACTATCAAACAAAATATTCATACTTCCATCTATGTAATAACATTGATTTTGACTCCATTAAAATAAACCAGTAAAATAATAATGTTCCTTTTTTTTAAAAAAAAACCCGAACTTAAGTTTTACAAGTAATGGTACTCCTCAACAAACCGTATCTGCAGTGCTAAGGCGATTGATAACATCCTCGGCATTCAAGTCACAATCATTCATCTATACGATTAGAAATACTGCTGACCAGATATTAGAAGTGTGGTCAGTAGAATTCTAACTCGTCAGTAGCCAAATAAGCTTATCATTAATTTGAGTGTAGAGTCAAGATGAAAAAAAAATGAATATTGATTGCTGATAACAACCATGTTTGTTCGTGATAACTACTTTTGGCACTCAATATGATTAGAAGATATTCTCTCAAAGGTTGTGCACATGATCTTCACTCCTACCACTTAAATCGTCTGATGATGTAGAAATTAATAGTAGGTACATTTATTGAAACAAAACCTTAAATTTCAAATTTTATAGTCTTATTCAGGTTTTTCTGATCCAGGTAAAACTGTTTTGATTTAAGTATTCGGATTACTTGGATTTAGCTAGAAAAGAACACAAACAGATACATTTTTGTCAATGTTCACTCATCTATTCAATATTAGTACTAAAGATCTGTTTCATCATGAATCAGTTTATAATGTAAACTATGAGAGCTTAAAGTAAGGTAACACATTTTAAACAATCTAATCAAAGGTTTAGGATAAATTTCCAGGGGTTTTAATAGTTTTAATTGTAGGACTAACTTTTACGGGAACACAACAGTGATCAAAATGAAAACAATCAAAATAACTAGCTGAACAAAATTTAGAAATCGGATTTATCTAATGCTAACTTGTAAATTTAAAAGTAATGAGCTTAACACAAGATTTGAATGTCCTGAGTTTAAACTCTTACTGGTTCGTCGGCGGGTACAACTGAGGAAGCTGATACGAGAGTGAAATAACTAACTAGTATCTTTCAAGTTTACAATGTTTTTTTATATAAAGTTAGTTCATGATATGATCTGTTTAGCGATTTTTGCCAGGTGGTTTTCGGCGAGATGAGGTTGCTATCTCCATGCCCAACCCTCCTCCTTTATCAAGGCTTGGGACTGACAATAACCCTTGAAGGGCTACAGGCGGAGTCGGTTAGAAAATTCTAGCAGGTGGCCTATATTCCATAAAAAGTAAAAGGTGTAAGTCATGGTATATTAAGTATTTGACTAGATATAATACTTGTACTTCAACAATGAGAGTCAAGTTGTTTTTGTTATTTATCTCAGATAGATTAAAACAAAACAAAAAAATCACTCGCAAGCGAGATTGCATAGACTATAAGTAAAAATTCTTTGGTACAAACCTGATTTATGCCTTACACCTATCCTATTTGACCGTTTAAAAAATCTTGGATCTGCTGAATTAATTAAACATGATCTAATATATCTTGATTCAGCATAACTAAGCTTAGAGTGTAATGAATTGTTATTCTGTTGATTTGATTTATTCTTAATTGATTTCAACCAAAATTCTTCTGCTTTATCTTCAACTGATTCATGATATTCCCATTTAACAGTATCAAAATTTAAAGCTAATATATTGTGTTGTGTATTAACAATTAATCTATAAATAAACAGAATTAAATTACATTGAAAAACAAAACATGATAAATAATCTACTATAAATTAGTTGTTTGTGATAACTGAACAACAATTCAAATAAAATTCATTTGTATATTGGTTGTTTGAATCTTACCATTGATGTTTAGGACTGTAATCAGTCAGTCTCTCATTGATATATATGAATCCTGTGCGGATCATCTCGATATCGCCTTAAATCAAAATCATTATAAACAAAGATGAATGATGACTAATAGTGGAAAACAGGACACGCGTCTCGTTCTACAGGGCTCGCGTCCTGGAATAAACATCAACTCTAGGATACAGATAGGTCCGGTTGTCGAGTTTCAAAATGGACGAGGCGTACTTCCTGAATTCCACTGCTAGACACTATCCATTTCTGCTTATAATTCAAAGATAAGTAATCAAAAGTCATGTATATGTTAATCTTTATGCCATGGCATTATGTTTTGAGTGATTATAAGGCTAAAAAACTTTACTTAATGCTTTTTACATGAAAAACATACATGGAATTCAATCATTGATTATTCTGTAGCATCAATATCCGCTAATCCATTCATTGAAGGATTAATATGAATACTTAACGATGTAATTCTTATGTAAAACTGTTGGATCATTTGACAGCATTATGTAGTTACATAAGCAAAAATAGAATATGTATTATATATTACCTAAAAACCACTTTTTAAGAGTGATAATCACTAAAAAACAAACAAGGTTTAAGAGATCGTATGAGGATGTTATCAAGAAACTAAGTCTTCTCATTTGAATAATGATTGTCTTTGTGTTCTTATAACTTATATTTGGCAACATATGGGTAAATAGGTTCATTCTTCGTCTTTAGTGGAATTTTATAAAAACGAATAATTATACATTGTTGTAACAGGTGTCCGAGATTTGATACTGATACTCGATGTGCTACACGATAACCCCTCAACTGACTACTTGGGCTAAAACACAAGAGTGACCGTGAAAGTGTGTTAGGCTACCGAATAAAACGTACAAATGCTCATTAACATATATACTACTCTATCCTTAGAAAACTGACCCCAATGAAATGTATTTGACATTTAAGTCACTTGTGACTGCCATCGATTGACTTACTCATTAAGCTACTGCTGATTTACTCACCATATCACACATCAGTGTATTTTCAATTACTGTACAACGCAAGCGTACTCCATTTCATTTTTTCTTTAAATATTCTACTTGATCTGTACTATTTTAAAATTCGTCAATATGGATTAATGCCATACTATGGTAAATTTCATAAAAATTTCAATGAACTACTGATTTCAAATGAACTACCAGATTGAATATATTTGCATTACTAGTAAAAAAGCAGAATTATAGTCAACACAGAATTTTATGTCTTTAGTTAATCCCTATAATATTACGATCAAGGAATATGACAATATTAACTCTTAAGCTCTAAATATCCTTGTTATAATATCTATATGGAAAACTAAAGTATAAAAACTTAATAAAATGATCAGACTTTGACTTGTTTTTCAGAAGTACATTATTTCCAGAAGGGGTTTTTTGTGGATATTATGGTAATTCCAATAGTTGAGATCATGAGTCAATTGAAGCTAGATCACCATGGGAAAACTGGAAGCACTGGACGGTCGCTTTATCATTCTGAGGAGTCCCACAATAGAATGTTTATTGAACTTGAATTTTCTTATGATAATAGTTTTATAAAAATGTATACATTTTCAATGTTTATGAAAGATTCAATAAATATTAACATAAACTAAAAATATACCGATTTTCTAATGGCATAATGCTTATAATTGGATCATGACGATAATTTCCCGGCAATATTCTTTGACAATGTTGAGTTAATAAATTCCATATACGTATACGACCATCTGAACAACCAGTTATTATTCTTAAATCAATCAATTCAACACATAACACTTCACTAAATAAGAGAACAAAATTATTGATATTCACTTAGAGTATAAATGAACAAATTATTTCAGAATGCATAAATTGACAATATACTTTAATTTTCCTTACTCTTTGAATTTCTTTTATCACAATATGTATATTGTAGTTGGTAAACTATGTAACTATGAATTTCGTATTGAATAATTAAAGGTTAAATGACCGTCCAGTGCTTCTATGTTTTCCATGGTGGTCTAGCCCCAATTAACTCATGATCTCAACTATTAAAATGAAAGATTTCTCGCTAGTCAGCCATTGATTGGCAAAATGTAATTGAAATATTTCATTTAACACATATTTCTAAGTAAATCAGTACTGACAACTTAAACTATGGTAATAAACAACGGAAATTCAAACCATACAGTAACAATATCATTTTCCTGTAGATCTCAAATGCATACTTTATTGAAAAGGTTTATCATCACGAAACTTATGTATTGTGTGTCAACTGAGTTCATCTAAAACAAACCTTCAAAAATTGAATGTCCTGGTTTCTACCGAATTTCTGATCCTGCATGAATCATTTGTCTAGTTCTCCATGACTTTAGACAATTTACAACCCGGTCGTAATGACATCTACTAATACACTGTTGAACTAAGTATCTGTTACCAATTTTTATGTAATGAATCTACACCTTACTAGCTACTAACTTTTAATTTCTAAACATTTATTACTTCCAAATTGTTTAAAGTTATAAGTCATAGTTCTTACTACATAAAATACATTTCATTATACAACTGAATTTCTTCATAAACTAAACATATTAATCTGGAGATTAAGCTTTCGTAAGCAAGACCGAAGGTCATGGGTGTAGGAATTAATTACCTACAAATGAATTTCTTGAGTAAGTACCTATACTGACGCGCATAAAGTCTTAGCAGGGCTCTAGTCAAAACAGGTAGCTATGTGTATATCCAACAAATGTTATCTGTTTTTAAAATCTAATTTATTACAGGTAGTGAAAAAACGGAAAGTACTAGTCAGTTATAAAGAAAATATAAACGCGCGTAAACCAAATAGCATCAGGGATACAAAATAATGAAGTGAAAACAAGGGTCAGTCATTCATACTTAACTGGTGCAACTTCATCATTGATAGTTAAATTAAAAGATTCATAATAATAATTGGTTTGGGATTAAATAGGTCTTAAGCGGTGAGTGTTTAACTCAACTATTATTAGTTGATTCAACAGAGATTAACACTGGGTTTCATTCCTGTGTGTGGAATCGTGGATGAGCTCTGACGTGGAATCCCAAACTAGGACGAAACTGCCCTTCATCACTTTCAGGTTTAAATTAAAAAGAGAACCTTGGATTGATCACAGTGAAGATTTAGAAAACTTAAATAAAAAAGCACCCTAATTGTTACAATCCACTCACCCAGTATGCACTAATGTACCTATACAATCGGCAAATTCTCCAATTATAGACCATATTTTTACAGATTTATCCTTGGACGATGTGACTAAATGATAGTTATCAAACCGCAACGCTGTAATAACATCAGTATGACCAGTTAATACCTGTTATAATAATGATGTTAATAAAACAAAATTCAACTGTGTATCATCAAAAAAGGTTTTTAATTATCTTTTCTTTATATTATTCAAGTTCGTAACACGTTATTCTTTCAGTACAACACATGCAGATCAACGTAGAATATTATTCTAATGTTTTCAAAGTTGAATTTGCGATTCGATCTACGCTACACCACCAACAAAAACACGGAAGCACTTGATGACCGTCTCGTCCTAGTATGGGACTACGCGGTAATGCTCATGGACGATCACAGACACAAGACTAGAACCTAGGACCTTCTGTTTCGCGCGCGAACGCTTAACCACTAGATCACTGAGTCAACAACCAACTGTGTTAATGACTAATTTTAATCGATCCATGATCTTGCATAACCTTTCATCGATTGTCTGAGGTAGACGATTGTTTCGCATTCGATAAGGATTGAACTCCACTGATCATGGCTCAAACTGGATGACGGCCCAGTGGTCTGGATGGTAAGCGTTCGCACATGAGGCCGGTGGTCCCGGGTCCGAGTCCCGCGTGTGGAGTTGTGGGTGCTCACTGCTGATGAGCCTCACAATAGGACGAAAAGGCCTTCCAGTGCTTCCAGGTTTGTAATGGTGGTCTAACACCAACCGGTTCATGATCTCAATCAAAAACTTAGTAATCTCCATAACCCCTTACTTTGTTTTTTTTTGTTGGGTTTATCATTTCATGTAAAATGAAGACATAACTAATTTAAATCAATGTAATTGTTTGGCAGTGAATGTAAAGTGTGATTGATCGTTGAGTGTGAACAAGCAGGCACTTAGCCTACTAACTATTAAATATGTGATTTCCATCCCTCTCCTTGATTTCTACTCCGAACCCACTGTGTGTGATTGATTGTAATTGTATTGGATAAGATATTAATCTGGTTCTCTATTTTGGATCATGAAACCTAGTTCTTCTATAACGAGATTAGTCTAATTAAGGAACTAACATAATATCGAAGTATACCTGAGAGAGAGAAAAATATTTTAAATTATACCTTATATCAGTGATTATTTTTGTACCGATTAAACATAGTGTAAAACTTTACTTACAACCTTTAGTATAATTATTTAACTAAATTATTATTTATTTATTTGAGTTAAGTATCGTGGTATTATTATCTGGAGGACCACTTACAACTAGACGGTACACTGGTATGAAGATAATAAATAAAATCAAAGTAATGTATTCATTAAATTCACTTGGTATTATTTACTTGAATCTTCCCATTAATGCTTAGGATTGCAATTGATCAGTCTCTCTCTTATTGGCATATGTGCATACTGTGCGGATTGCCTCGATATTGCCTTAATTCACAAGCAAAGATGGATAGTGACTAGCAGTGTAATTCAGGACACTCGTTTCGTCTTGTTTGGGACTGGTAAGCTAAATGTACCTGCATCTCAGAGTTGATGTTCACTTTGATACTCGAATCCAGTACTGTTCACTTCAAACTTTATCGCGTTATCCACTCAGCTATTGAATCCCAACAGGTACTGAAGAGTCCCAAGTAGGACAAAACGCCCATCCTGTATCCCACTGCTAGCCACTATCCATCTTTGCTTATAATTTATTCATTTTTTTATTCGATTATTATAGTTTCAACAACAAAAAATATCATTATTGTTACAGTTTATGTAGTAATCAGTTATATTTAATCATACATTCAGTGCAGAATGATAAAAATCTTTTTTTAAAACTAATAACTAATTAATTTTTTGAATATGATTATAAATATTCATCATTTTATGTAATATTAACCTTTATTAAAATTGGTTTTTTATTGCCAATTCTCCATACATTTATACGTCCACTATGTTCACCAGTTGTACAAATATATCCTCTTAAGCCTACTGATGTAATTGGAGTTGAATGTTTCATAATCCATAATGGTTTTTGTTCATCTAATCTCCAGACTTTAAAATATTTCATAAGCATAAAAAAAGATCATTTAATTTAACAAAAATCTACTAAGTAGTATATCAAATTATTGTTAAAATAATACAGAATAAAAGCATAATATTTTATACTAGAAGAGAACTATACGAGATAATAAAAGGATGCTTTTCTACTTTGAAGAAATCTAAATACTTGAAAATAACTTTAAATAAACTAAATCATCTTTGACCTTTAAAAGATAATGAACTAGAAGAGTAAACATAAAAAGTATTTTATCCTAATAATTGTTAGATGAAATCATTATTCATAATTATAAAGAGAGTTGGATGATGTTTAACAGTGGAATCCAAGACGAGTGTTTTATCCTATTTTAAACTTGTCAGTTGAATGTATCCGCACCGCAGAGTTGATATTTATCTCAGGACTATTATTCAACATAAAGAAAATCTAAATCTATTCAAAACTTAGTGTTTTGAGATATGGTTGTAAATTGGTTTTTGATGTCCAACTAATAGGCGCCTGTTCATCTTTATCACCGCACTTGCATAAAGTTTTACATATCTTTATGTTTTGGCTACTTAAACGAAACCTAATAATATTAATCGATCAATTCAAACTTACTTTTGTAATCAATCTGACACTCGAACGCTTGGTAATAACTTCCCAGTCGTTTCCCATTTATTCATTCATCTTTGAACAATCACATCAACTAATCACTGAAAATTTATACCCTATCTTGTACACTGACAGAAACCTGAAGCTCAAACAACAAGTGTAAATGATAATTACAATAATGTAAGAAGACCGTATTCATGAACTCTGAGTTCATAGGTGGTACCATAGCAAATATTCAAAAGCCCATTAATAAAACTACTAAGAAAAACTTTCTACTCTCCAAAGCATTATCTTGTATGTTTGTTCAATGATGAATGTAAAACGACGAATAGTTCTATTCTCGAACACTTCGTTATCAAGCAGCTTCTAAAATCACTTATTCAGTTAAATAATCTGGCTTAAAAATATATAAATCCGAAATCCATTATTTTTAAAAATTTGTTTCTATACTTGTGAAAGAATAAGCATATATATACGAACAAATGCAGATGAAGACAACTAGTGTGGCAGCAGCCTCTGCATCAGTAGGCCTCAACATACACAAAGGAAAAAACAAGATCCTCAAATACAACACGCAGAACACCAACTCTTCCAACTCTGCAAGATGTGTAATCCTTCACATACCTGGGAACCATCATCGATGAACAAGAAGAATCAGATACAGACATATAGGAAAAGATTGGCAAAGCAAGGGCCGCATTCCTACAATTGAAGAACATATCGAACTCAAAACAACTTTCAACCAATATCAACGTGAAAATCTTCAATACGAACGTCAAGACGGTTCTACTGTATGGAGCTGAAACTTGGAGAACTACTACAACCATCATCGAATTGGTATAAGTATTTAAAAATAGTTTTCTACACAAAATACTCAACATCCATTGGTTGAATACCATCAGCAACAACCTTCTGTGGGAGAGAACAAACCAGCTTCCACATGAAGAGGAAATTAGGAAAAGACGATGGAAATGGATAGAACGTACATTACGCAAATCATCAAACTGCATCACAAGGTAAGCGCTAACTTGTAATCTTAAAGGGAATTGGAAAAGAGGAAGGCGAAAGAATACATTACATCGAGAAATAGAAGCAGATATGAAAAGAATGAACAACAACTGGAAAGAGCTGGAAAGAATTGCCCAGGACAGGGTTGGATATAGAGTGCTGGTGAGCGGCTTATACTCCTCCATGAGGAGTAACAGGAGTAATTAGGTATATATATACATGAAATAATGTTACTATTCAAAAATCTATTAGTTTTATATAAATGAATTCAACTTACTACAACATGTACGATCAACTGAACCACTTGCAAATTGATATGTACCTTGAAATCCTTCTTTTTTAACATCATCATTTAGATTATTACTATTATTATATCTTTGATTTGAATGATAAGATGAATATGATCGTTTTTCAGATGTTATATTATATTTTGACCATAATTTAGTTTGATCTAACCAAATACAAAGTATAGTATCTGTATGACCATGAAATATTCTAATACATTTTGATCGACTATTTCTAAAACTTATAGGATTTAATGGATTTGTTTGTTGATTTAAACAATGTTGATTATTATTATTATTATTATCCGATAGATTCCATAAACGAATACTTGTATCATAACTACCTGATAATAAAATTTGAAGTTTAATATCTAACCATAATGTTTTTACACTTCCAGCATGTCCAATTAACCAAACACGATTTAAATGTGCCCTATATATTCAAATAAAAATATAAAATTGATTGTTAATTTGAATCGCTCAGAAACATTCTCATTATATACAAAACACAATGATATGAATGAAGAATATTCATTTCAATGAATTTCTCATCAGGTACTCTACAATTATCTGATATCCAAATTAATAATCTATAAAATTAGCTAGATTTAAGGCAGAGTACATCATTCCAAATCGTGAATATGTGAATCAAGGATTGTTGTTGTGTCATATGAAATCGAATCAAATCGTTAATTTTGGGGCTGACTAATGTGAAGTTGTCAACTTGAATCAGTTTATAAGTGAAATGAAATGGTAAGAATAAATGGTTAGAATAAATATGGTCAACGCGGGGTGATAGAGAGAGAATAATCCAATACAAAAATTAAGTAATATGTAGAATAATATGAATTAGGTCGGATATAATAGATAGGGGTGGATGCTGAATAAATTCCTCGAAAAGGTTATCAAGTGTAATAATAATAATAATAATAATAATAATAATAATAATAATAGATCTGCTTAATTTCAGTCTTATCATTTCACTCAATGCATCAACTCTGAATTGTAAGCGTATATACAGAGGCTTTTTATTCACAGTTAGACATTCTCTATGATCGCTTTTAATGGCTATGTTTTTATTCATAATTAATTTGTAATTAATAATTACGAGTTACTTACATAAATTCAGCAGTACTACCGGATTGATTAACATTACCATTTTGTTTATGAATACAATTAGATGGGGATTTTTCACTAAATGACTTCATAGTAATATCTATAAATTTAATTGTACGTTGTTGAGATCGTCCTTCACAATGAGCTAACCAATGACTTCTATTATCTACATGTATTACACGTCGTTTGCATAATGGTTGATTTGGTTGCCTACAATAATTAAATCATTGAATTAATGTAACAAAAGTAAATTGTTTTAATGAAACATTAAATGAATATAATGTCCCATTTTATTTCTAGAAGGATATTAAAATATATACATAAATCTAATAAACAGACATAGATAATTTCACTGGTTGAAATCATGAGTCAAATGAAGCTAGACCACCATGGAAAACCCGGAAGCACTGGACGGCCATTTCGTCCTAGTATGGGATCCCTCAGCAGTGCGCATCCACGACCTCGCCCCCTGCGAGACTCGAACCCAGGACCTACTGGTTTCGCGCGCGAGACTGATAGGTCATGGGCGGGATGGGGTCGTGGATGAGCACTGCTGAGGAGTCCTATACGAGGACGAAACGACCGTCCATTGCTTACAGGTTTTCAATGGTGGTCTAGCTTCAATTGACTCATGATTTCAACCAGTGAAATTTTTAAAACCTCCACAAAACCTTTTCAGACATAGATAATCGAATCACACTTTCTATAATATCAAATACTAGTTTTTTTTCTACAATGTATATATGTTGAGAAAAGTTAAGCGTTACAATTACTTAGGTTTCTAACTTTATTCATCATTTTTATGGTCATAATCCTTTCACAAGTCTAATCTTCCGATTTATTCATTCATTTATTTGCCTTTGTCAATTAATCATGTAACGCTGGTTATGGTTTCATGATAGTATCTGTGTGTTTATTGACGTTTTGCATTTCTTACAAGATTTATAAGAACTAAGTCATCTTACTATTCTGAGTGGGTGTATTGGCAAACTTCACTGACGTATATATTCTCTGGATCTTTAATTTGGTTATCTGTCACTCAACATACTAGTATGCCTGAAATATATGTACTTTAAATATAATTCGTATTAGACTTTTGATGTACCGTTGTTCTAAATGTGCTAAATCGACGGAACACATACGAAGTGAAGTAGGATATACATTACATTAGTGTAAATATTGTCTGATTATAAAGGAGTCAAACATTTGCCAAAAATATAAAGTCTTGCATAGTTTTGTAATTCAAATGTTAGGATCTCGATTATCAAACGAAATTAAAGTTCATTCTTATAGCTGAGTTAGTTGTGTGGGGTCTGGTACCATCCAATGCCTACATGGACTATTCTAGCATTCGGACAGACCAGTTATTCATCTCAGGTTACATTTTGAACTTGTCAGTTATTCTCTTATAACGTGACTTTTTTTATTTGAGCGTATGTGCATCGTTTACCTAGTTCATTATTTCTTTAGCTGATTTTTATCTGACTATAAATGGTGAGGCACGCTTTATCAATGGAAATTTGCACACTTGCCTTTCCAGCTTCTCCTTGTTTGCCTGCTTCTCATTTTAACGTATGTCTGCGTAAACAGTTGAATGAAATAAACCAATCCAACTTAATTTGTGTTTGGCTCCTTACTACCGCCGTCACTCAAACGGGGTTAGCCTAAGTGTAACATAAGGAAGTAAACGGAAGATCTGTATTCATAGTATATTCATATGTTCGTCCAAAATGGAGTCAGATTTCGGACCACTAAATTGGTGAGCAAATATAATTTCCTCTCTTAAATGAACCTCAGGAATTTTACATTCAACCCAATACTATTCATTTTTAATCATGTAACAATACTGAATAGCCTAACACGTTATTTATGAGCTTGAATGGAGACAAAAAGGTTTTAATTTACACCCTATTGTTAAATATTACTAATGTTTTCTTAAATATATCCTTTATATAATAGAAAGAATTCCTTGTTTTTGATTTCAATGGAACAGAACACAATTATTTTCAATAAACTAATAGGCAGATCAGTCGTAAAAATATGCTTTGACTTGACTTCTTCAGTAAATTTCTCAGCTATTAGTAATTCAAATGTCTCCAAGCTGATAACACCTATTTATAACATGGAATCTAAGTCACATTTTTAATCAAGACGCTAAGATTCCTCAACAAAAAACAAAAATATAAAATGCTACATCTTTACTTTATCAATACTGAATATTACCTATATAAAGTCCTTACCTTTCTAACAATACATAAATGCTAAATGGTCCACAGTAGATATTTCGTTCAAACATCAAAGCATATCGTATTTTTATCTTATTATACGCTTGTTTTATTTCATACGATATTGAATCCCATGATTTTTGTATCAAATCATTCCAATCATCAGATGAATCAGACTATGGTTTTACAAAAACAGAAAAATTCCCTCATAACAAATTATTGATTTAAACAAATGACTGATTGACTATTTATGAAAGAGGAATTTGTGAGTTAGTTCACCATGACTGAGTTCGAAGTTTGTTTTCGTCACAGATAGATACTACAGAAACTACAGAATTACTGTAAGTTAGAAAGCACTGAATAGTTATTTTTCATCTTAAAATAAAACTTTTGAATAGTGAACACTCATAACTCTATCATGGATTGAATTCATTACCTTCAGTTTTGACTGTGAGTTTTTAACTCTTACACCATTGTGTTTGAATTCACTAGTCTATATCTCTAACTTTAATCAATTTGGTTTAATTTATTGTAGTCAAGTGAAAATACAGTAATAAATAAAATGAAATCAAGAGGTTTCACAAGTTGAAATCATGAGTCAGTTGAAGCTAGACCACCATTGAAAACCTGGAAGCACTGGACGGCCGTTTCATCCTAGTATGGGACTCCTCAGCAGTGCGCATCCACGATCCCGCACCACGCGGGGCTCGAACCCAGGACCTACTGGCTTCGCGCGCGAGCACTTAACCACTAGACCACTGAGCCGGCATCCAACGGTGTTAATGTCTAACTTCAACCAATCCACGAAGTTGCGCCACCGTACACCATTGTCTTCAGTGAGTTGTTATCTCACAACAGACCGGTTGAACTCCACTGGTAACGGCTTCTCACTAGAACTCCAGGAGATTTTCCTGAAGTCAGTCACTAGTGAGCAGTTGATTATAATCAGAATGGGTTTTTGTGGAGAGTTTAACAAATTTCACAAGTTGATGCCGGCTCAGTGGTCTAGTGGTTAAGTGCTCGCGCGCGAAGCCAGTAGGTCCTGGGTTCGAGCCCCGCGTGGTGCGTGATCGTGGATGCGCACTGCTGAGGAGTCCCATACTAGGATGAAACGGCCGTCCAGTGCTTCCAGGTTTTCAATGGTGGTCTAGCTTCAACTGACTCATGATTTCAACTTGTGAAATTTGTTAAACTCTCCACAGAAACCCATTCTGGTTAAAATCAAGAGGTATTGGAAAGAAAACTGAAAAATCTAATTACTTTTGAAATCTAATTTATATGAATATTTTATTACAGTGGTTGTTTAGGAAGATCTATGTATATTGTACAGTACTTTTCCAATTAACACCATCATTCCAATGCTTTTAATATTATCTTTAAGCGTACATGATTATTTGGTAGAAAAAATAAATAAGATTACCTGTTACACAGTAATTTATGTGCATGGAACAAATACTTGCATCAAATACATTAGAATTACTATCGATGCATAAATATCAAAACGTCTAGGATATGATCTACCCACTAGTATACGACATACGTACCATAGGTCTTCAAATTACACTAAGAGTAAAGAAACTAAGCTTTATAGGCAATATTAACGCAATAATTAATCATAAATTGGTCATCTGGAAAGGGCTAATACTAAACAGTAGCCCTTATCATTAATTGAATTTGATTGGTTCACGAATTTAGAATGGATCCTAAATAAAATCATTCGACTGTATAGAATATACCATATATGATGTTAAATAAAACCATGAAATCAATTTTTATACTCCTTGACATAGATGATCAAGGTCAAAATAAAACTTCTCTGTTCGGAACAATAAGTAAAAATTATCGACCACATTTTCAATAGTTCACCAATTAGAGAAAATTTCAATGATTTTGTCTTGGTGAAAAAAAGAATCCAATTCTCTGTTCAACTTTAGTGGAAGTTAAAATCTTTATACAATTTTTAAGTACTTTACTCAAGGTCAAATAAAAGTATTCTTTGGGAAGTCAATTACTATTTATAAGCTGAAAAATATGTTTTTAATTTAACTTTAAAAGGACAAGTCAACTAGACTAGACATTTGATTTCGTATATCTTTATCATTAACCAATATAAATTCTAACATAATATCAGATTATGTAACGATAACAAATCGCCGTTTCATTCGGTTCTGAGATCTTTCAACACTACACATATTTCACCGTATTTTTCCTCTAGCTAAAGACATCTCCTCATATGGAGTTTTTTCTTTTTACACAGGCAATGATTAGACGAATTATACTCTAAGATAGTCCACCTTTAAAATAATCAGCACTAATGCCACTTACTACGATTGGATATTCCTCTGAATGAATATGTACGTATTAGAAAATTCCACTCATATATATTCAATAAACCATAAATCTGCTCATTTCTAAACGTATGATGCGAGGATTCTATCTTGTACGGGTTTGATAGATCGAAATATTGAAATTTCGAAATGAGATGTTACAGTCCTTCCTGAATTTTAGTAACCATTCAGATGAATCAAACCCTCGTCAAATATAAAAGTGATACTACTTTACAAGTTTCTCGAAGACCATTTTCAATAAAACATTCAACTTATTTGTAGAAGTTTTGAATGTATCTATTTATCATTTTGTTCAATCCAGTAATATTTTACGAGAAAAAATAACCGCCTATGTTTACTAACATAATTTTTGTCATTAGAACACATAATATATGTAACATGAATAATATAAAAATAAACCTGACTCAAATCACTTTAATGAAATTCAGTCACTTGACACATAGCGATTTCGTAGCGGAATTCTTTTATACGATGTGAGATTGCTAACTCTACGCCCCACCCTCTTTATTAACTGGGTTTTGGGACAGGCAATAGCTCTTGACGAAACTTCAGATGAAGTTATTTTATACATACCAGTAACAATTGCTACTGAAACTAGGATATTTAAAATAGTTTGTGGATGATTTATTTATTTAAACTCTAGCTCATAAAAAGAAATATAAACATATCAGTTTTCAAACCTGTGATCAAGACTCTGAAAACCAAACCCATGAACTAACAAACCACAGTTTCACTAAGGTACATACCAAAAAATCATTTAAATCTAGATTAAAGCATTGCTTATAAAAAGACTAATTCATTTATAATATGACACGTAAAACGTGAGCATTGTTTTTTTAAATGAACCAATAGTGAGCACTTTTTCATCTCATTTAAATTTTTGACACATACAGATAACTGCTGGGAGTTCGACACTTTCTTGAAGTGAAGATGCAGGCTTAACATCTACATGGTTTATAATTTTTGTAGAGGCCTATTCCTCTTTATTTAACCCCAATAGATGGTATACCGTTAACCAAGTATTTTAGCAGGCCAGTTCTCCCAGTATTACTATGGATTTACCAGAGAATATTCAGGAGCTGGAACACCAGTTGTTGGAATAGTGCATTGCAAATGATTAATAAAACCCGCAAGCACGCAAAAGACATGCATACAGGGAAGCGAGTGAGAGTGAAAAGCTGAAATATCCTTAGACATTTTGTGAGTGTTAACCACTTGTGCGTAAGTTATCGAGTGTCTTTTTTACCAATCATTAGGAGGATAGATAAAAATTGAGGTGCAGACATGTGTTCAATCAAACTCATACATGGTGGGTTAATTGTCTAAATTACATGAGGTGGGTAATAAAAAATTATACGACCTTACTACAGTTTTATCCACTATTTAATTTTGCATGCTTGATAAGAACAGTAAGAACCATATTCTCAATCGCTAAACACAAAACAGATCGAAATTTCGGTAAAAACTTACTTGCATTTTTGTCCCTTGACTACATGTATTATCATGACTCCCTGTAACTACCCGTGGTTCCTTAAATAACCCAGAGTTTGGTTCACCTGAAATTTTACTTTTCAACTGAATTGGGCATACAGGCACTGGTACTAATGTGTATCTCATAAAGTGTGGATCAACTCGAAACAGTGATGACTGAAAATTAAATAAAACAATAACAGTCAGTTCATCATAATTTAGCTCCTTCCTTACAAACTAATGTAGTGTGTACATGTAAATGATCTAAAATAAAGGCTACAAACCACAGATGGTGTGTAGTTTCTCTGCTTCATAGCAGGTATTTATCAGAGATTTCGAAAAACTATTGATTAATTTAATAATAGTATTGGACTCGAAATGTACTTTCGGTAAACTAGAGGTTGGTTAAGCGCCTGGCGCGAGACCGATAGATCCTGGTTTCGAATCTCGCGGGATGCGGGATCAAAGATAAGCACTGTTGGGGAATCCGATATTAGGACGAAACGGCGGTCCAGTGTTTCCAGGTTTTCTATGGTGGTCTAGTTTCAATTGACTCACGATTTCAATCATTGTACTGTATCAAATAGACGACTGAATTAATGAAAAGTGCTGCTTAAAGAGAATAATTTTCAAACACTATAATCAAATTTTAACCGTCAGCATCATCCATATTACAAAGAACAATGTGCCGAGTAACTACAGTTTGATAAAATCCTTCACGCACCATCTCATCCAATCTTATCACATAAAAGACAAACTCAATACCCATGCCCAAAGGCCTTGGTAAGAACTTTGATTAGTTTCCATGACTCTGCCACTCATTTGACGTATAACTATAGAATGATTACTACCAGGTACGAATAACGGTAATTCATCTTTGTTCATAGAGATGCGGTGGTATGATAGCATTGATCTTCCATATTACCCTGAATAAATCTAAATAAGCTTGCTGCTTGAAACATTAGGATTACTCAAGTTTCAATCAGTGAGACTGATTTAAGCACAGTTTTTTACACATGTTATTTTCGATATACTCAGCGCACGATTTCTGTTTAACTATCCGTTCAAATATTAAAGAATATCCATATGAAAAATCATAGTTTCTGGAGTACACTAACACGACCAATACAGAACATTTTTGTTTCACAGATTCTGTAATTTACCAAGTTTTAATGATTTCATTGAATAAACAGATGGAATGAAAGTGAGTTGTGTATTATACCTGTTATAATTTCAATGGGAAAAAAGAAAAGCCACCTACATAATACGGAGTTTGTGTGTCAAGATCTTAAAAGCTAGTATCCCTAAAGTATGTCTTTGAAAACGAGAGAGTCTGAAAATAAATAAACTGAACTGAAAGTTTTGATGGCAAAATCTCAGACAAATGTAACAACCGCTAAATGTGTATGTCTTGTTCTGGACTTCTAAGATACGTTTTTGTGAGATCTAATACAGATACTAATTGGAAGGACTACGAAACTACTCTCAACACTTGGAGACATCTACAAGTGAAATTAGGTTTGTGGGATGTTTATAGCAATAGTATATGCTAGTGAAGCTAATTAATAATTTATAAATGAGCCAAGACCTAACAAAGTTTTAGACAGACTTCTATTAACCCACATACTACTAATAAAAAGGAATACATCAATGACACGAAAAGCCAAAGATTCAAAATAATAAAGTAAGCATTTTATGAGCTATGTCCAAACACATTACAACAACGATTAGTATTAACTGCTTAATCTTAATTTGCTTTGGCCATTGGTCTCCTTAAGATTAATCAAGTAAAATAATTATTATTTAATTAACGGTAGTTCAAATCTTTACAGAACAGGTAGAGGTCACAGTCTTAATGTGACATAGATGTCCTAACAGCAATGTGCTACCATACATTTTCTGATACTCTACTCTATTTGGATTCGCCATGCAAGTGACGCATTCACCACCATCAAAACGTTTCAAATGAAAATTACTTTAAATTTAATTAACAGTGTCCTTAATAACAAAATATTCGACAGTCAAAACGGAGACCAATAATAATCTACTATTTGAGAGTATGTTGATCACAAGAACAAACACAGCAAACCTTTAGACTCAGGTATATCAAAGTCAATCCATAATGATCAAACCAAAGAATACGACAAATATAATTTAATGATTTATAAAGTGATCTTCATACAAATACTATTCAAACGAGTGGCGGTATTTGAAGTATTTGGCTACATGCAAAATTTTGCTAAGAAATCCCCATCAAACCCATCACCATGTGCAAGATTAACAGCGAATGTCAGAAAAAGAATAATAATGAATTGCCTGCAAACTTCTCAGAGATTAAAATCAGGTTACCGAAGCCTCTGGGGATAGATGTGACTCAAAAGCCTACGAAATCGCTGCAATCAATATTATGCGATGAAGAAATGAAATACAGAGGAATACAAGCTAAAGATTACCTCCAAAATAAGTTGTGGCAAGAAATATAATTCCTTAAATATCTAGCATTTTTATCATGGTAAAAAAACTCCAAACGTTCCTCCCAATCTATAAAAGACCCAAATTCAGTAGCACTAGAAACATATGGTTAGACAGCCACAAGGTGAAAGCTGGCAAAAACGTTCGCTGGCCTAAGTTGAAGCATCTTACAAAGGAAGAGCAAAAGAGGAAGTTAACAAGATGAGTCTTGAGGAATGTATAAATGACAATACTTAATGAAGTAACGGCTGAACATCAGGAATAAAAATTTAAAAGAATCAGTGAGAGTGAATATTTAAAAGAACAAATAAATACCATCATCACTAAGACTGGAATCTAGCCATTGTTGGACAAAATTCTTGGTCATAGATTTCGAGTAGCTTTTGGACTTTTATCAAAACTTTTGCTTAAAAACTTATAAGGAATCTGAAGGTCTTACTTACAATCATCTCTGATGATGTCAGAGGAATTTACATATACTTTAGTAGAATCACTTTAAAAGAAAATCTTACGTTTTCTATTGGCCATAAACTGTGCTTCAGCATTTGTGTAAATTAGTGTTAGTTTTTTGTATACCTAACTATAAAATCTCAAATTCAATTAAATGTGTCGAGTATGTGCAGTGTGTTCTCTGTTTTCAGTCATGGTCCAACTGTGACTATTAAAGTACGTGTTGGCAAAATCTACGGATTCCTTAGTTCACATATCACAGTTTGTATCCTCACCACTTCCAAGTATTCTGCAGCCTCAGTTTCTTAACTTAACTTGTTGCATCGGTTGATTTTAGTGATTTGTTTAAAAAAGTCACGTCCTCAATATGTATGAACTAATTTGTTCATATTAACTGAACAACTGACCGCAACCAGATTAGCAACCACACACCTTGTCGAGAGCAAAAGTTTCGGATCACTGTACATCAATGTCTATTGAGAGCTACAAAATAACTTGAGCTATGTTTCCAGAATTTTAACTAAATATATTTCTATAACACTATAGAAAGTTTCTGAAATCTTACCGTACATTGAAGTTCAGTTGAAGAGCTACCTCTTGTCTTACAGGCAACCTTTTTTTCTTGATTGTTAGCAAATGACTTAATTTTTGAGGTGATATTCCATGGCAGTTGTATTGAAGATTCATATTCCCGAGTCTTAAAATTACCATTTTGTAGTGAATTTTTATGAAGTTCAGAGCTGATCGAACTTGTCATAGACGGACTGCTACCAACCAAAACATATAGAATAAAAAGCTTTTGATAAATTAGAGGTAAACGTGATAAGTAATTTATAACTCGGGTCTCAACTTCGTCCATATGTTGGGGTGAAAGAAGCTTCCGTTTGTCACTAGCAAGATTCCAATCCATACAACCATATAACCTCATTTTAGAGTAAAGAATGTCTTTTGAATTGTTTAACTGCACAAGTTTACAAATATCATCTCGTAACTTATTCAAATAAGGATTATTCATCAAACTAATTAATAGAGCTTTGATGTTGTCCGTGCACCACGAGCTCAGGATACACTCACCAATTTTTATTAACTCAGAAAAAATGCAAGTTGCACAGCTACAGCAATTATAAAAGTCATTATTGTTGCAAGAATCCATGAGCGCATTAACTGCAAATAAACTTTAAAAAGTACACAGCCTTCAATCGTTCAATTAATCGTATCCAAACTTCAAATTTGTTAAGCAGAAATAACTAGTCTTTTCACACTTCGGGATATATCCCATAAGTATGTTTGCAGATGCAACTACTTCATTACCTGATCTTTTAAGAAGTGACCTCCTAGAACCTTGAATAAACACAGACTTCGCTCACTAAGTACAGATTCAGATTTATGTGGTAAGGGTAGAAGGCTCATGGCCTATGTCATTCCCTTTCTATCATGCTTCTGTGAGTGTCTGGTCTTCTCTTGAATGAGTCAATTGAAGGTGAGGACACCACTGCTTCGGGTAACAGGTTCCAAGTATTAATGACGGTGTGAAAAGCTGTATGCCACGGGTATTTTGTTCAAATGGTTCAAATGGTTGTGAACGGAATAGAAGAAGCTTTCGCTTAACAGGCTTTCGTATCTAGTAGCAGGGGATCATCAAATCCTCCAGGCAGGAACCTAAGTATGTTAACAATAAAAGAGGAAAAAAATTGGTAAATCATATTGTGATACTGTCCTTGGTCCTTAAGAATAGGTCAAGTTGCCTCTTGAAGGACTCCTGAGAAGTCGCTTGAACTAGCTCGGCCGACAGCGGATTCCAGCATTTGACAACTCTTAAGGAGTAGAAGTTGTGTCTACATTCCGTCTTGCAATGTTGAGTTTCCAGTTTCTGGGTGCTACCCCTTAGGTTATTATTCGAACTAAGCTTAAGTAGGTGTTTAAAAGGATATCCAGAAGTGTTAAGAATACTATAAGCCATTAATAAATCACCTCTAAGACGCCTATACTCTAATGGGTAAAGGTTTAGTGAATGGAGGCATTCTTCGTAAGGCTTGGATTTGAGTCCTCGAACTGATTCCGTTGGATACGCTCCAAAGTGACCTTGTCCTTTTGGAGTGAGGGGGAGTACTATGTTTCCGTATTCTAAATGGGGACGGATAAAACTACTGAAGATTGTATGGAAAGTTCTTCCGTCAAACTGGCCAAAAATGCGCTTCAATGTTACCAGTGCGAGGTTTGCTCGGAAGGCATTTTGTCACAGTTAGCGTAAGACTCAAATCATGGGGCACCAGGACTCCCAAATTTTTTTCGACTTGGGATACTACTAGAGAGGAGTTTCCTAAGTTGTAACTGTAGTTTGCGACATGTCGCAGATGAACTACTTTACACTTTGAAGTGTTAAAGGTAAGTCCGTTGTCGTCTGCCCAACTTTGAAGTCGAGTCAGATCCTCCTGAAGTGCCTGTGTATCGTCTTGGTTGCGTATCTCTCTCCAAAGTTTCACGTCGTCGGCAAAAAGTAATAAGTCTGACGTTACCTGTTGAGGAAGATCGTTTATGTAGATCAAGAAGAGGAGAGGCCCGAATACTAAGCCCTGGGGAACCCCACTAGGACATTCCAAAGCCTGAGATAAAGTGAAATTAATCCTAACCTTAAAGTGTCGATTTTCTAGGTATGAAGTAAGCCAATCGATTAGAGGTGGTTTGATACCTAGTCGTTTGAGCTTATTGATAAGACACAAGTGGTTAACTTTATCAAAAGCTTTTGAGAAATCAAGTTAAATGATGTCAACCTTTCCCTTGCGATCGAGGATGCTTGTCCATCTGTCCACCGCAGTCAGCAGGTTGGTTATACAAGAGTAACCCTTCCTGACACCATGCTTTTGGAGTGAGAAGAAATTTAAGGACAGTAGATAGTCGTTTAAACCGTCGCATATCAGGGACTCCATGAGTTTTAAAGGTAATGACAGAAGAGCCATCGGCCGATAACTTGAAAGTTCATTGCGTCGACCCCCTTTAAAAATTAGTGTGATGTGAGCCAACTTCCAAATTTCCGGTAGTTTGCCTCGGCTTAGCGAGTGTGAAAACATCACGCTAAGCGGCGTTGCTAGGATTGAGGCTGCCTCCCTCCGTATGGCAGAATGAACCATACCCGGGCCAGGAGAAGTATCTAGTCTTAAGTGCTACAGTTTCCGGAACACCAAGTCAGCGCTTAGGTCCACTTCGGAAAGCCCTGTGGAATTACAGGTGAAACTGTCGTCAATAGAGTTGATGTCAGCCGGCTGAAATGTTTGAGAGTAGTGTGCCGCCAGAAGGTTAGCGGCGTCACCATCGTTGTTGGTCGGGCCGTTAAGACCTAGCAGTTGAGATACTCCTGTTTTGGCTTGACGAAGAGAGGCTGCATAACGGAATAGGCTTCTAGGGTTCGAGGCAAATTTGTCCATAAGCTTTGTCTGGTAATGAAGCCTGTCTTCTCTTATAGCCTTCGTGCATATGTTCCTGATATGTTTATATTGCCTATACGCTCCGTCGTTGTCAGTTCGTTTGTATTCCGTCCAACAGTGCCTTTTACGGCTTAGCAGGCGAAGGGTACGGTTCTTGATTACTGTAGGTGGCTTACAGCTTTTGGGAACCGTTTGAGGAACTGAATGGTTTGTAGCACATAAGAGCGTGTGCAGTAAGAAGTCCCAATGACCGTCCACATCAAGTTGGGGGTGAACATCCCAAACCACCTGTTGTAGATAGTCATGTAGAGCTGGCACGTTCAGCCGTTTAAAATTCCAACGCAAATTATTGTTGGGATACCTTAGCTTAGTTTTGATGACAAAACTGAAGGCTGTGACGGCATGATCGCTCTTTCCCAGAGGAGCCAGGATTGAGAGGTTGTCAACTAGGAATTCTTCGTTTGTGAATACACAGTCTAACCGCGATGGTGTCTGACTGTTTCTCCAACGAGTTGCCGACCTCACATTTTCATATAAGCCCAAGTCATCGATGAGGCTGAAGAACCGAGCTTCAATTGAGTTGTCACCTCCAGTATGCGTGTGTTCCACGAAGTTGACTCTAGGAAGGTTAAAGTCCCCTAGAATCAGGATATGTGTGAAACCGAGACGGGTAGAGCGGGATAGTCCTTCCAGCATACGACTATCGTACTCGATGTTGGCAGTTGGCTTCCTGTAAATTACACCGACTATACACCTCGAAGTACTAGATAATCTTACAGAGCACCATATGGATTCCTCAAGATTGCTAAACTCGAGGTTGTGAACTTGGTGCGCCTCCAAACAAGAGCTTATGTATATGGCTACTCCGCCCCCAATTCCTGTTGTTCTGTCGTTGTGGAACAAAGTCATCCCAGGTAATGCTAACTCTTGGTCCGAGAACTGAGAAGATATCCAAGTTTCAGATATTCCTATCAGGTGGGCTTTATTAGCGTTGCTAAGTTCACGTAATTCATCCAGTTTGTTTGGTAGACTCGAGGCGTTCATATATAAGCAGTTTATGTTTTCAAATTGGAACGCGTGAGCTTCGTCCTGTTTTTCTGTATAAGCCTTATGTGAATGGACAGATAGCCCACCTATGTGAGGTTTACCGAGGTGATAGACCCTGTCGTTTACACGTTTTTTTATCATTTAGACAGTCCACAAGTGGAATGGTCAGCTCCAACTTGCCTTTGGGCTTGGTCCTGGCTTCATATGTCCTATCCGGGTGCATGTGGATTCCAGGTGGCAATCGGCGTCTGTTGGCATGAAATGCTTCCAGAACTGCAGCCGCCATGTGGGAAGATGGGAAGGTTATCTTCATTAGACGAGGTCTAAGATCACCGTCCTTCTTGGCTAATCTCGTCACATGCTGAGTCAGTATGTGTTTGAGCCTCAAGGACTGTTTGATGAATTTCCATTCCCTGATGTCAGAATTTGATTGAGTAGGGTCTGCATTTTCCGGTATACCTTGCACAATTATGTTTCTTCCGCGGAAAAACTTCTCGCGAGATTCTTTAGGGATGTTTCGTATGATATTGCGCTCAGAGAACGGTATTTCGGGCAATATTCTTACGTTACCATCTGATTTCAGCAAGTGACTTGCTAGTAAGACGTCCTCTACATCGGTAGCATTCTTAAGTGTTACTCGGAGAAGCCTTGGGTGATTTAGATGCTTAGAGTCCTTTCCTCGAGAGAGCCGGGTGACCATCGAAGGCTCTATTTTAGGAAGTTCGAGCTTCTTGTTCAATTCACCCCAGAACATCCTGTCATTTTGTTCTGCAGACTGAGAGGAAGGTCAGGATTATCAACAAGGTTCATGATAATGAGAGAATCGTCACGAACTGTTGTTAATTTACCAGGTTTCACGGTGGATTCATGTTTAATGACTTGCTGTTTGGAGGTCAGTGTGTGTTTTTGAGGCTTGTGCTCTTTCATGACCGGACGAACAGTCTTGGGAGTAGACTGTGCGACCAAATCACCAGTTAATTTCCGTACAGCAACACTTGGGTTGCTCGGCTTAGGCGGTGATGCCTGGTTCTTTTGGGCTCTCTTAACGTGGGTCGAATCACCTACAGGGTTTTTGGGAACCACTGTTGTGTTCAGGGACCCTGAGCTGGGAGACCCGAGTTTGCTTAGGGAGTCTAATACCTTCGACGTAATGATGGTGTTGAGCCTCGACACGTCATCATTAGTGTTGATGGATCCTCTATCAATGGTATACCTATCGACATCCTTGTTTTTGTATCCGTCGCACGCTCTTGTTTGTCTACCGGTTTTTTAACTATCGTTGTCCAAGTTAACTGACAACTTGTTCCGAAGACCTGTCAGTAGGACAATGATGTTACTCAGCAAGACTACAGCATCCGTGCTGCACGCGACACATACCCATTTTTGGTCTGACTTGCTGAGTCTGTTGTAAGTGGTTGATGTCAGATCTGTGCATGCTTCGTGGAACCGACCTTTACAGTTGTCGCACTGCATGCCAGTTGCAACAGCAAAACGGCATCCCGGACGTTTGCATGAGTTTTTCATGACTATGTTGAAGCAAACTATGTTATAGATGCTTGCAAAAGCCTAAGACCTTTAAAAAACACTAAAAAGCACACTGAAAACGGACAGAAATGGATAAAACGAGTGTTATAAACTGAAACTAGTCTATACGTGAAAAACAAAAAAAACGAACAGTAAGCTG